CCACGATTGGGCGGGTTCGTTAGAGTGGGCGTGTTTACGCATGTAAACTTAAAACATCAACAAACTGCGAGATGGTTCAGAAGTGTGCGAGTGTTTGAAGGAGTCAGTCGCTGCGAACGGCGGAATTTGAATTAAACTGAACACAGACAGTGACGAACCGTAACGGATTACCATGGATATGTTCTGCTGAGGTGGCGCACTGTACTAGCTGAAGATATCACTTGTTTTTAGAGTTTTTATTCGTATGAAAACTGAAGATGTTGGATAAAAGGATTGTTGACCTGCGTTCGGATCAGCTGGAAGGCGTGAGAGCAAAAAATGGTAAGTTCATTAAAATACCGAACAAGAAAAAATATAAAGATCTGTTTATAAGGCTATGTTTGAGTTCGCCTTTAAATTATTTTGAAATGTACCAACAGTTAAATACTAAATGGCACTTGTGCTAAATTGTATATTAATCCAGAAACATCATTTAGAAGGACCGACATGCATTTTTGGTTGTTATGTTACATCTTTATTATATTTGATTGTGTTTACTTTCAGTTAAGGAGCACTTTGAGAAGCAATATAAGATGGGATCCCTTCTGGGAAGCGGCGGATTCGGTTCTGTGTTCTCCGGACAGCGCATTTCAGACGGACTACAGGTAAGAATGATATACTCTAATATAAAATGCAAACATTCGTGCATATATCTTCATAAATTTCTCCTCTAAATTACTTTTATTATCATTTTAGGTCGCTATTAAACAAATATCCTGTGATAGAATTCAGCAGTGGGCCAGTCTGGTGAGTAATCCTTCATATTAATGCAAATGTGTGTGTGTGTGTGTGTTTTTTTTTAAGTTGTCATCCAAGTAAAGCTACATTAATTTCAGTTTGAACACACAAACAATGAAATCATAGAAATAGGAATGATAGCGCCCTCTTCTGATTGTTTTGGGTTTTTTTACCGGAACAGCGTCGTCCTAATACAGAAAGTGACGTAGGCGTGACGACATGGATTTTTCAAAACACCTTAAAAGGGAAACTTAAGTGGACTTTCCCAAGTGTGTCAGAACCAGTTTTATAGTAATCCACTTGATAGGCGAGATATATTTGGTTTCAAAACAAGAAGAGTATTTATAGGTCCAAAATATGTGACAGATAAAATTGTAGTTCCCCTTTTAATAACCCAGGGAGAAACCCAATTTTACACCTGCAGTACTGTATGTTGAACTTTTCTAGGGAATTTTTTTTAATATAACGTCTTTTCCTGTGGAAAATAATCAGAATCCAAAGTTAACCATTGTTTTTTTTATTTACCCTTCATAGCCTGGTACAGCAAACAAGGTCCCCATGGAGATCACTCTCCTCCTGCGTCTGGGTGGAGAGTCGGGGTCGCTACCCAGTCACCGCGGCATCATCCGGATGCTCGACTGGTTTGAGATGCCGGGTCAGGGATACCTCATTGTGTTTGAGAAACCCCAACACTGCCAGGACCTGTTTGACTTCATCACTGAACGTGGGGCCCTGGAGGAGCCCATTGCACAGAGGTGCGAAAAAGCGACAGTCTTTTGGCATTCAATTCTAGCAGTAAGCCACAATACTGACGAGAATGGTCTTTTTTAGATTCTTCAAACAGGTCATTGAAGCCGTGCAGTTCTGCCACTCCAAGGGAATTGTGCACCGGGACATCAAAGATGAGAACATCCTTGTTGACACCCGCACCGGAGACATCAAAATCATTGACTTTGGATCTGGTGCTCTACTGAAGGACTCCATTTACACTGACTTTGAAGGTAAGGCAGCTTTAGTTTGGTTATTGCATATGCATGAATATAACATGAATGTGGAGCCGTTTCTAATGACCCCTCTGTCTGTTTAGGGACCAGAGTCTACAGCCCTCCAGAGTGGATCCTCCACCAGCGTTACAGCGCTCATCCGCTCACCGTGTGGTCGCTGGGTGTACTTCTGTTTGACATGGTGTGTGGAGACATTCCCTTTGAGCAGGATGCTGACATTGTACACGGCGCTCCAAGTTTCACTAAACGCATCTCCAAAGGTGAGCCGCAAACAAAACAAAATCTACTTTCTTAAAGAGACAGTCCACTCAAAAATGAAAATTCTGTTATCATTTACTCACCCTCACGTTTCAAACCTGGATGACTTTTTTTTTTTTTTTTTAAATTAAGAATGTTTGTAACCAAACAGTGTTGGGTACCATTAACTTCTATTGTATTTTTGTCCATACTATAGAAGTGAATGGGAGCCAAACTGTTTGGTTACCATCATTTTTCCAAATATGTACAGTACTTCCAAAATGAGAGTAAATTATGACAGTTCATTTTTGAATGAACTATCCCTTAATAAACATTTTTTCAACAAAATGTCACATAGACGTATAAAATTGTTTCCCAATATATAAAATTGATACAATTAAAGTTTTGTACTTGTATAACTTGCAAATACTTCACATTATGGCAATCAAATGGGTTGCAAATTATGCAAGCACTGTTTCAATGTAATCAAGCAGATTTGTTACTTAAGAACATTTACATTTACATCTACTTACAACAGAACAACATGAGCAGTTCGTTACAGAGCCACCAATCTTCGTAGTATACGATGCCAGGTTTATTCAACATTTATTCTTTCATTTCAGAATGCCAGTCTCTGATTCGCTGGTGCCTTTCATACAGGCCGGAGGATCGGCCTGGTTTGGAGCAGATTTTGCAGCATCCTTGGATGATGGAGAGCACTGAGGACATTGGAGATTTGCAAGCGGAAAGCAATATTAAGCCAAGCCTTTAAATCCTGAAGGACTTTGGACTCGATTCAGAAATTTCACACACACTGTTTTGTTTTACACACTGGACTTCCTGAACTCTAGTTGCTGGTTTCTGGATTCTTCCTTATTTATTTTTTTGTTTGGCTGCCTTCAACGTTCGTTTCATTTGGACTTGGGATCTATGCTTCTAGATGCCCAGAATAGCCCTGGATTGCTGCAGGTTTACATTATGAATGAATATTTACCACGACTACAACCATCACAGCTCAGTGCAACTTTTTTATTTATTGGGGATTATTTATTTTTTTCCGCCATGTACTAATTTATTTTTTGCAAGAATTTCAGAAGCAGTAAACTGTGTTCGTCTTGTTTGTTGGTTGTTTTGAAGTTCTAACCGACTTAAATGACAGTAGGTGGGCTTGCAGTTATTTACCAGACTGTGATGATACCTGGTTTTACAGGTTTCTGTTGTACAGTGATATTCTCTCCCTGTTCTAAGGGGTTTCAAAAAGACTTTGGATCTGCTTTCCAGTCTTTTGACGGGAGGCCTGGCGGAACAATAATTCAGGCTCACATGGATCTGTTCCCATTTATCAACACACACTCTCAAAGAAGGTGTGACAGAAGAGAAGAGGAACATTCCTGTGGATCCTGTTTACTCTAAATGAACCAGTTCCCTAGATGGATTCCTCAGAGCCATTACTAAGCCGGCTTTTGGTTTCTGTCTGTATTGTTTGCAAAATACCTGCGTTGTAACTTAAAGAATGTTGTCAGGACGCTTTGTACTGAACGAACTCAGCTATGTGTCATTTTGTTGGAAGTTCCCAAAGGTCAGCATGTTAACTAATGTCAGGAGGGTTTCAACCACTAACCCACTTTTGATGTTTACTAAAAAGGGCCTATGGGCTTTTCCTAATTGTCTGATTACACACCAAAGAGATCTGCCTTACTGTCTTATGTGAGGTAAACATGCATAATGCCAGATTAATTTGATTTGTAAAGTAAAGCAAGTCAAAAAAATCTCTTTGAAATTTGTTAGTTCCGCAAGTGATTTGCTTTTGTGTTTGGATCCAAAACAGCATTGACATGTTCAAATTGTTTGATTCGAGACTTTAAAACTGAACGTGTACAAATTGGACCTTTCCCAACATAACATGTAATGCATGATCCATGTAAACACTGGGGTATTTTTACATTCATTACAGTCAATTTTCTTTTTTCTTTCATTTTTTGTTATAAAAAAAATCCTTGCACTTTTTGCTTGGGTTGACACAACAATTTTGCTGTAAATACTTGTGTATTCAACAATGCACTGTGGCTGTTGTCACATGATGTTTAATTTAAGAGATTCTATGAATAAAAAATATAGATGTGAAATATCTATATTTAAAGAAACACCTGTCTTGTCTTTTCTATCCATTTTTGCTCATGCAAATAAGAAATAAAACGAGAAACTCCAGCCATATCAGTGATCATAGTTTTCTGTTCAAGGGAATTTTTAAACAGGCCTCTCTAGTCCAACCATTCATGTTAGTTATTCCCGACAAGTGAAGCAGGAATGTTTTGATCATGTTCACGTGCTTGCTTTATTGTAATGACAGAACTGACTTTTCCACATGGTTTAACGCCTGCAACTGACACCCTGAATGTACTGTATATACAAGTACATTAGACACCAAGTGTGCCGCACTAGTCCTCAAAAGTGAAGCCTTGGGTTTCGATCTCCCCCAGGTGGCTGGTCCCAGTATAGGTCATAAACCCCACCCTCTCCATGTAATCTAAAGGGATTTAGACAAACAAAATAATTAAATTTCACTTCAAATATTTTGTTTTCAAACATGGTTTTTGACATTTGACGTAGATTTTAATCACGCTGATGTAAGTTCAAGTGTTCGTTTTTTAAATAAGTTTGGTTTTAGTTAGTTGTGATGCTATAAAAATGGGAGTGTGACGTTATGATTGACAGGTTGAGACTGAGAGCCAACAGACTTTTTCGGGATCTTCAGGAAGAGATTGGAGTTGTATTTACCATATTTTAACACAAGCCTCTTATACGGCAATCAGCAGACAAAAAGCGGGAGTGTGGGTGGGATGCGGCTCCACTTCGCTCACTACTGCGCAGACTCGGGTCCCAAATAAGTGCAATATGGCCGTGCCCTATTGGGACAATGGTGTTCTTCAACATTGGTTTTATTAATAATTGGATCTTTATTTGGATTTGAGACACGTAGGGATGACTGCCTGGCTCAACGAGGTGTTGAAGATATCTGTTAGGACTTTCATCAGCTGTGCAGCACAGTCTCTCAGTACACGGCCCAAGAGGGTCTGGCTGCAGCCTCGCACTTGCACTCTCAGACTTGCATTCTCAGACTTGCACTCTCAGACACTTGCGCTTCCGCTAGCGACTTCACTTGCAGGCTTTATTTTTTATTTTGTTCTATGTTTTTTTACTTTTTGTTTGAATCTCTCAACATTTTACAACATTAGCCAGGTGGTGAAGACAAGACAAAAGAAACTAAATTACAAAGTTACTTGCAATCGCCACTTGCACTCTCCGCTACCTGCAACGTCACTTGCAATCGACACAAATGGTGCGTGTTGCCATTGGAGACAAGACGCTGTGGTGGTGATTTAATGATTAAAACTAATTTAGTACTATAACATACAGGGTCTT